ACTCGCGCGAGTGACTGAACAGTTGAAATTGTCAGATATAACGCAACATTTAGTATATGTAGGGTGTATATACATTTACTGTTTACGTTTACGGGTTCTAAAGCCCCATATCGATTTGGCTTAGTTCGTTAGTGAACAAATTCGTTGGAGTTCCACCCGCGTGCGTGGAGTACATTCGAATGTGCATTCAGTAGTTTAATTTACTTTTGAAACATACTATGTCTCCGTGACACTGCGGAAAAGTAAGGAGTACTTATATCTTAGTGTGTTAGATGTTAAATTTTAGTAAGGGATTTGTCTGTTTTAGTTTTCTTATAGTTTAGAGATTATTTTGTTTCGTATTTGTTTTTTCAGAACTTTATTGTGTGTGGATATATACGTTAGCTTGTGAACAACAACAACAGCAACAAGCTTTATTTACCTGACCATAAATACATACAGTGTTGCAAACGCTTTTGTAAACTAAAACTAAAACAGTAATGATTATCGTGAACATTTAATAAGGTTATTATATAGCAATCAAGTTGATTTCACAAGCTCTTTACTTTCGCATAACTTGCCTTATTAGGCCTAAATAAGAGGGAGGTGTACAACCGTTTATAACGAACGTTAACTCTCCCGATTAGATTATAGGGCGATAAAAGTAAAGGGTAAGGGGAGTGAACCTGTACGAGCTTCTGGGCCACGCTCAGTTCCGGCTTCACTCTCCGGCAGCTTCACTGCCCCACCCTCGACTCGCTTTGGTCGCCGATTTTTTTCGCGCTTGCCGATTTTTTAGGCTAGGAATAATTATGAGAATAGTGTGAAAAGTCTATAAACTTCTACGATTGCAAAACGTGCAAAATAGCATATCTGTGCCACCGAACATTATAAAGTTTTCTGGGGTGGGAGGGATGCTGCCCCAAACCCCTTTTGCGGTTCGCGCCTTCGGGGCTCAATCATATTTCGTTTCGGTGCGTATTTCAAGAAAAATGCACGTTACGCCCCTGAAATTAATATGATTTTGATATGTCAATCAACGGAAGGCCCATTAAGGTAACGGGTGTCAGCTGTAAAACAACTCGCAGGTTAATTCAGTATATAGAAAATAAGTTGTAATTACATTCAGCGCATTTATGTGATTATTGTTCAATTTAGATTATGTTTCAGTTCCAGTGTTATGACACAAACAGGTTCAACGTTATGCCAGGCAAATTTTTTTTTCTCAGATGTCATAATGATAGTATTTACTCAAATATAATAGATTGTAAAGTGAAAATTGGATGTAGGCAAAGAAAAAACAAACGCGTGACAATACTAATGTGGAACAGTGTACATATTTTTTTGTTCTCTTTGTTTATTGTCTGGAACAGGAGATCTATTTTTGCAATTGTTTCCTGGAACAGGGTTCCAAATTCATCTCTTTTTGTCTTCAACAGGTCCAGATACTTAGCGGCATACCCCGGTAGTAAATTTAAGGCAATAATCCTCCCGGGATATCACCAAAGATTCCTTGTTTTTCACTGCAGGGGTGAATGTCAAGAATGCGGACCGTCCTGTTTTCATTCTAGAAACACATAAGATGTCTTCTGGCCTTGAGTCTCCTGTTTCTATTCTTTCGATCTTTGGCTAAAGGTAGTCCAGTTGTCGTCATCTCTCTGTCACGTAACA